CACCGCGCGGGTGGGCAGCTGCTCCGAGGGGCGGCGCCCGGCCGAGGTTGGAGTCGTTCCGGACCGACACGTCAGCAGGGGCGCGGAGGGGCTGCAGGAAGACCTCCCGGCGGAGGCGCGACCTCTGTCTGCAGTCGCGAAGGATTCTCCTCTGGGCTGCCTGGCAACCGGAATTCTGTATCTTCTCCCTCGCCCAATCGCCTGCCTTCGCCCTGTCCCTTCGCTGTCGACCCTCTGCGTGACTCCACGCGTCGCTCACCTTTATCTACGCACTTGAGTCCCCCAGCTGTGCGCCATCCCGACAGGTCCTTCCCGGTGTCTTCTCGTGGCTTCTCATTTCTGGTCGGTCCAAAACCAGTCCACCCCACTTCACCCCCCCCACACACCCCCACCCCTATTCTTGGTTTGGTACCTCCTTTTCCTAACTACCAAATCCCATCCACGACCTGCAGCTGTTTCTGTTTCCAGCTCCCTCGCCTTCCGCCTTCTGACGCCCAGGGGTTCCTTGCGGCCCCCCAACCTGGCGATCCTCTTTGATTGGGGTGGTGAATGGAATGGCGATTTGAGGGTGTAAATTAGAGACACTGGCCTGCTCGATCTTTAACGGGGAGAGGGGAAGGGGACAGATAGGTGGACAGTGGCCTTCAGCTCAAGCTCTGGAGAATCCTAGATCTTTATGCATAAGGGAAGAAGTAATCCAACATAAATGTGTGGAGCTTCCATTTATACCAGTCACTGGACAAAACACCAAGGTGGCCTGAGAGAGGATGGAAGTCAAAAACAAAATATCTGGCCTTATCTAAAAGCCCACAACTTAGTGGAAACCCATTGTCACAAAAACAACTAAATGTCAGTTAGGAAAGCCAGTTAATAGCAACTAACATTTACTGACTGCTTTCTTTATGTTCAGTGGTTATTGTAAGGCCTTTATATCTATCCTTCATTTGATCTTCACAATACGACTACCTCAAAGTAGTAGGACATTACGATCCCCATCTTACAAGTGAGAAAATTGAGGTATTCTCACAGCTAGCAATTAGGGGTCGCTAGGGTTGGGGTTAAGATTAAAATCAAGGTATTAAGATTAAAATCGAGGTATTACTCTTCCTTTTAATCACAACTCTCTAAAGCCTTCACCAAGCAACAAGCAATTGGAGGAGAAAGGATTACCCTGTGGCCATCTCTCTCTCCCCCTCAGGCAAGCACATATGCTCTAAGGCAAAAACCTCTAAAAAAAAAAAAAATTTTAGCGTTCCTCGCTTGTGGCCATCTTTCACAGACATCCAAATCAATCCAGGAAAGAAGACTCAGATGCTACTCCCAAGCCACCCGGTCTCTTGGGACGTGCATGGGAGGGTACAGGAATGCAGACACTTGCCCACCTGCTGGATCTCCTATAAATTTGGTTCCACCTGGGGAATAATCTCTGAGGTGCCCACAGTCTCACTGGCAGGCTGTTCAGCTTGCTGACGAAGTTCACTAAACCCTCAGTATCCAGCAAGATGCAGGTCCTGGCTCCTGGTGGAATTTGCTCTTCCAGTCCTGCTTGAGAATGCAGTTACCACTTCTCACGCTGCTCACTCGCACTTCCTCTGGTTTGAATTTTCTACAATTTGATAAACATGGAATCATATGATACATATTCTTTTTGTTTGTTTGTTTGACTTCTCTCTTTCAGTGTAAGCTTCTGAAATACACCCAGAATCTGATCACTTCTTATCATCTCCTCATCCAACACTGCAGGCCAAACCACCACCATCTCTCACCTGAACAATTTGCAAAACCCTTCTACCAGCCCATAAGAAATCAAAAGTAAGTTTTCTTTATTTAGGCTCACATATAATATTTACAGGTGAAAAACAATATGGCCAGAGTTCTTGGCAATTTACTTTACACAGTAAAATGAATTCATGCTCTCTGTCCCTCCTAAAAAATCAATACTATCTTCATGCTATGATTATGGCCCTATAGTGACTACGGTACAATAGCCTTAACTGTTCAACTTCTGCATGACACAGTCACAAGTAACATATAAAACTGAAGAGTTCCAGGTGTTCTAAGAGCTCTTTGTCTTGAGTTCTTTACCCAGAACAGGCTGATGATAATATCTTGCTCTGGAACCTCCTCGACACTGCTCAGCACCAAGAAAACAGCACTATCCACCAAAGACGACTTCATAGGAACTTTTCTAGAAAGCCCCTAGATTCCTACCCCTCAGTTGTTACACTAATGACCTGTGTTTAAAAGCCCTGCTTGCCTCTTCATCAGGAAGACAGTACTTGGAGAGTCTTGGACTCTTGGTATAAAGCCTTCCTCTATGCAAACTCTTCTTGTCTTAGAAATCGGCTTACTGTACAATGGAGGACAGTCGTGGTCCATACATTTGTCCAGTAACAGTCTCGCTGTTCTTTTTGCTTCTGTCCTTGTCCTCCCAACACCTATTGTCTCAACAGCATCTACAGCAATAGTATTCGTATAATACAAGTTGACTTATGTCTCTCTTCTGCTCAAAACCTTCCTATAGCTCCCCATTTCAAGGTAAAATGCAACGTCCTTATTATTGACTGTACTGTCATACTTAATCTGATGCCCCTCATCCCTTTTACCCCACTTTCCTAACAATCTTCCTTCTGTTCTACTCCCACCAAAGTCAGTCCAGCATCAAAACATTTGCACTCGCAACTTTCCTTCAACCCCAAATAATTCACCAGATATTCTTCTCTGCCTGGCTAGTTTCCTCACTTCAACATGTCTTTGTAAGAATGTCATATATTGAGAGAGAGAGACCTTCCCTGACCATCCTGTGTGAAACAGAACCCCCTCCTGTGACTCCTGTGACTATCTAGCACATCGTCCTGCTTTATTTTTCATTAGAGCACTTTCCACTTGCCTTGCATTTGTTTTTCTACTTGACTGCCTCTCCTCCCACTCCGTACATCTCAAATTTAAGCTCCATGGGAGCATAGAATTTGTTTGGCTCCCTGCAGTAACATCAGTGCCTGTGGAAATGTCTGGAATGTATGAAGTACTCAACAAATGATGTTTTCAATGAACCTATGGTTTTTTACATATTACAAATATACCACACTGCTAATCTAAACTAAGACTTTATATATAAATAGTGTCAAGAGGGCATATACTATAAAAAAAGAACCTTTTTTTAGAGGTTTTTGCCATAGAGCGTATGTGCTTGCCAGAGAGAGAGAAACAGAGAGAGACAGAGACAGTAAGAGAGAAGGTAAGAAATCACCCCCAGGGGGGATGACCATGCCACAATCCCTTCTCCTCCATTCTCCTCCTGGGATCTTGGGCTCACATGTACATATACTCAGCATGATTTTTAAACCTTCTGATCCGGGACTCAAACTGCAGTTGGCCATGTGGGAGTCTAGCGACATAACCACTGACGGCACCATCTGCTGGCCCCAACATAGAACATTTTTTTATCTTCCCCTCAATGACATCCTCAACACCAGGAACAGACCCTGGAAAATATTTATTGTTAAGAGGGCATATTTATTGTGGGCAATGTGAATGAAATCACATTGTATTTTTTTCCTGCACAATGCCAGAAGATTTAGTAGGACAGATTAGGAATGTATTTTTAAATTTCTATTTAAAACAGAACTAGTAATGATTCATTAGTGGGAAAAGCAAAATTCAAAATTACCTAATTGAATAGTCCTTGACTACTATTTTGGACCAATTATTCAAATATTCTTTTACATGAAAAGGATATCTAATGCTGTTACTGAAGAATTGCTGCTTGGTTTGAATATTTTCCAGGGTTTTGATTTATCTCCCTTCTTTTTTTGAAATTATTGCCTTAGAGAATATTAACGAGCCTGGTGGACGGTCAGAAAATCTCTCAGCTATTAGAATGAGGGTGATGGTGGTAGTTCTTCCTACCAGCATATGCATAGCTGATGGATGAATCAACATTCATTTTCACTAATAGCATCTGAATACGTGGCATTGATGTTTAACATAAACTCTAATCCCAAGTGCATTATTTATTAACACCTCAAACAGAGGTAGCTACAGGCCAAGTGAGAGTAAAAACTAAGTGCATCTTCGTCGAGGTCGTGGGGACATAGAAATAAAAGATATGGAAGGCGCCTGATCTCAGAGAATTTTCAATTTGAAGAAGAAAAGACAAATATACAGAAACAAATAGAAGACAGCCTAATTACGTACATAGTGTAAACTTGGCCATGTTGTTTGCCAGGAACATCTAGAAGGCCTAACACTCAAATTACCAAGAAGACCCCAGTCTATTGCTGATGACGAAACCACTTGGTGTCCAGAGAATGGTCTAAAACATGTATCTGAGGACTACAGCAGTCATCCAATATTAGGTAACGGGAACCAGAATTATTTTTTCACATTAAACATCGAAAAATTGGATAAAATACACAAAACTGGTTTTTACACACTGGACAATAAGCAAGATGTTGGACCTAAGATAAGGTCAAGCATAAGAGATGATGAGTATGTTCCCTGCTGACTCCCTGGAGAGAGTTTCCAGGCTACAACCAGGGAAGGAAAACTCAACTAGGAAATATGCTTATGTTCAAGAAAGACTGGGGAAGCCAAAGCAGCTCAACACAGGGTAGAGAACAAGAGAGGAGAAAGCTACATGCAAAGGAGAGCACTGCGTAGAGTGAGCTCCAGAGAACTACAAAGGGTTTCTCTCAAGTTTTCAGCAGAGTAACAGTAAGTGCGTGTGAGTGAGGAGCTCCCAAAGGCCAAGGAAGAGCCACCAGAGAGGAACAGGGGTGGAGTGGGGGACAACTGTTAGCATGAAGAACAATTTGTGTTACCACCAGTCAGAGTGGAAAATACACAATAAACAGGGTACCAAGTAGACCATTTAGTAAAAGGGAAAAATTAGGCTAAGATTAAAGGCGGTTTTAGTCCTGCCCAATAAAACTTAAAAGCAGGACTTGAAAAGATCAAAATGTTTCCAAGTAAGTTAACTGCATTCCAGAACCAAGCTCAAAAATATTTAATGGCATGCAAAATATCCAGCACCTTAAAAGTTAAATTCAAAATGTCTGGAATCCAATAAAAAGTTATGAGGTGTGCAAAGCAGCAGGAAAACACAACCTATAATATAAATAAAAATGAATCCATAGACATTATAACAGAAATGACATGGATGATAGATGTATTACACAGGGACATTAACACAGTTATATTCCATATGTTCAAGAGGCTTTTTTTTTTTGGAGAGGTTTTTGCTATAGGGTGCATGTGCTCGCCAGAAAGACAGAGAGACAGAAAGCAAGAAATCACCCCTCAGGGGAGATGGCCACACCTCAATCCCTTCTCCTCCATTCTCCTTTCGGGATCCTGGGCATGCACGCACACACGCCCGGTGTGAATTTAAGCCACTGGGTCCAGGATTCGAACAACAGTCAACTACATGGGAATCCAGCAACATAGCCATTACGTTAATTCTGGTCCCCATCAAGAGGCTATTTAAAATAAATAAATAAATAAAAAACAACATAAACACTTAAAGCAGAAACAAAGAAGATATAAAAATCTATTTTAGACCAGCTGGTGGTTAAGGAGGCTGGTTCCTACATGGTCAACTGCACACCTGGCAATTTGAGAAACATCCCACATATATGTGCATGCTTGCCTAAAATCCTGAAAGGAGGAAGAAATGGAGAAGGTATTACAACATGACCATGCCCCATGAGAAGTGTTTTCTCACTTTTTCTCCTTCTCTCTTTTTCTCATGAGTGCACATGAACACTAGCAAAATTAAAAAAAAAAAATTAAAACATTTTTTAAAAGTTTTAAAAACTATCTCAAATTTACAGAGATGAAAAAAGACAACAGTGGTTGAAATAGGAAAACATATACTAAATGGACTGACAGCAGATTAGACACTGCAGAAGAAAATCTTAGTGAACTTGAAGATGTTCACTAAGAACAAATTGAAGAAGCAATAAAAACTCTCTAAAACATGGGACCAGCGGTTGGTGTAATGGCTACAGAGGTGAAACCCCATGGTAGTGACCCGCGGGTTGAGTCTCAGACCCAGTGGCTTAAACTCACACCAGGCACATGTGCATTTGTGCCTTAAACTCACGCCAGGCACATGTGCATTCGTGCCCAAGATTCCTAGTGGAGAAGGGATTGTGGCATTGCCATCCCCCTTGGGGGATGATTTCTCGCTTTCTTTCTCTCTGTCTCTCTCTGTCTTTCTGGTGAGCTCATGTGACCTATAGCAAAAACCTCTCAAAAAAAAAAAAAAAAAGAAAGAAAGAAAGAAAAAACTTCTCTAAAACAAAAACTGATAGTTCTTTTGGGGATCAGCAGATGGCATAATGGTTACATTGTTGTACTCCCACATAGTTGACCATTGTTCAAGTACTGGACCTGGTGGCTTAAAACTCATGCTGGACATGTGTGTGTGCATGCCCAAAACCCCAAAAGGAGAATGGAGGAGAAGGGATTGCAGTGTGGCCATCTGCTTTCTGTCTCTGTCTTTCTCTGTTTTCTGGCAAGCACATGTGCCCTATAAGCAAAAATCTCTCTCTAGAAAGAAAGAAGAAAAGAAAGAAAGATAGATTATTAAAAGGGTTTTAAAGTTTCAGCTCTTACATTTAGGTTTGTAATGCACTTTGAGTTCATTTTTGTATGTGGTATGAAGTAGGGTTGAATTTAATTCTTTTGTATGTGGCTCTCCAGTCCATTCAAATGATGAATTAGTAGGAACCAGCAGATGGCATAGTTGTTATGTTGCTGGACTCCCACATGACCTACAGCAGTTTGAGTTCCTGACCAATGGCCTGACCCACAGCTTGAAATTCACACCACACGTGTGTGTGTGTGTGTGTGTGTGTGTGTGTGTGCCCAAAATCCTGAGAAGAGACTGGAGGAGAAGGGATTGTGGTGGCCTGGGGGTGATTTCTCACTGTCTGTCTCTCTCTGTCTCTCTGTTGAGCACACATGCTCTACAGCAAAAATCTCTCTTAAAAAATGATGAATTAATAAATAAATGTGGTATATCAAGACAATGACAATAAAAAGAGAATGAAACACTGATACATACCACAACATGCATGACCCTTGAAAATATTATGCTAAGTAAAAGAATGTAGCCACAAAGACCACATATGTATGGTTCTACTTGTATTAAAGAACAAAAGAGACAAATTTATACAGACAAAAAGTACAATGACCAAGATTATTAGAGATAGGAAATTGGGATTGACAGATAAAGTGGACAGACTTTCTCTTCGGGGTGATAAAAATGTCCTGGAATTGATTGTGGTGATGATAGCACAGGTCTGTGAATATACTAACAACCATAGAACAGGATATTTCAAATGAGTGAATTATATAATATGTGAATTATATGTCAATAAAGCTGTACTCCCTCAAAAATGGAAAACTTTTTAAAGAACTCATAACTACCAGATCTACAATATAATAAATGTTGAAATCCTCTGACAAAACAAAACAAAACAGTTAGAAACTTGAATCAACACAAAAGAATAAAGAATACTAAAAATGTATAAATGTGAGCAAACAAAAATATGTTTATATTTTTAAATATATGATTTTTTCCTTATTAAAAAAAAACTATTTAAAAAAATAATGATCTAGTGTAGAGTGGCCATTCTGTAGGGGCCAGCAGGTAGCATAGTGGTTAAGGTGTTGGACTCCCACATGGCTGACAGCAGTTTAAGTCCTGAACTCTGTCAGAGGCATGAAACTTCTGTTTGATAAGTTGACTTCTTTAACATTATAAGATGACTTTCCATTTCTTTGCTCTGAAATCTATTTTGTCGGATAGTTATTGTTACTCCTGTTTCTTTTCAATTATGTTAGCTTACTTTATCTTTTTTTTACATTTATTTGTGTTTTTATATTTACAGTGTGTTTTTCTTGTAGGTAGCATATAGTGAGGTCTTGCTTTTTAAAGCGAATCCAACAATCCTGCCTTTTGTCAGAGGTTTTTAGATTATTTACATTTATTACATGACTTTTGATATGATTAGGTTTAAATTTATGGTCTGTTTTTTGCTTTTTCTTTGTCTCACTTGTTTGTTTCTCTTTTCTTTTTTTTTATCTTCTGAATAAAGCATGTGTTATCTCCTTTATCAGCTTACTAGCTATAACTGTATGGTTTTGTTGTTATTGTTATTGTTTTAGGATTTAATAATACTCATCTTTAATTTATTACACTATAACTTCATGGGATGTTTTAGCACTCCATTATAGTTTATGGCCTTTACAATAGTATTTTTTTCACCTTTCTTCCTTTTATACTTTCATTGTCATATGTTTTAATGCATATATATCATAAACCTTACAATACAGTGTTACTATTTTTGCTTTAAAAGATCGCTTTAAGGGAACCAGCAGTTAGCGTAATGGCTATGTCGCTGGACTCCCACGTAGTTGACCGCAGTTCGCGTCCCAGACCTGGTGGCTTAAAACTCACACCAGACACATGTGCGTGCGTGCCCAAGATCCAGAGAGGAGAATGGAGGAGAAGGGATTGCGGCGTGACCATCCCCCCTGGGGGGTGATTTCTCACTTTCTGTCTCTATGTCTCTCTCTGTCTGTCTGGTGAGTGCACATGCCCTATAGCGGGAAAAAAAAAAAATAAAACCTCTCAAAAGATCTTTAAAAGATCTTTTTTTTTTTTTTTTTTTTTTTTGAGAGAAGGATTTTTGCTATGGGCATATGCACTTGTCAGAGAAACAGAGACAGAAAGTGAAAAATCACCCTCCCCCTCCCAAGGGGGATGGCCACACTGCAGTTCCTTCTCCTCTCAGGATTTCAGGCATGCACACTGATGCACCCGGCATGAGTTTGAAGCTGCCAGGTCTGAGACTAGAACCAAGTCAACTACATGGGAGTCCAGGAACGTAACCATTATGCCATCTGCTTGTCCCTAAATAGACTTTTTTTTTTTTTAAGCTAAGAGTTTTGCTGTGTCATGATCCTTCTGCCTCAGTCTCCTGAGTAGCTAGGACCACTGTGCCCAGCTTTTTCCGACAGGATTTTACTATGTCGCCCAGGACAGCTTCAGGTTTGAAATCCTCCTGCCTCAGGTTCCCATAGTCACTGGGATAATAGACACGTGCTACCTTACCCAGTCCTTAGGTCGTACTGTGAACCAAATCCAGGCCTCTCATGTGGTCTCAACATATAGACCACAGCATCTTAGTAGCATGCACCACCACAGCTAGGCCTATATAATTCTACTTTTTAAGAGAGATTTCTGTAATAAGGTACTTGCACTCACTGGAAAGACAGAAAAAGTGAGCAATCACCCCTATGTGGATGGTCATGCTGCAATCCTTTCTCTTCCTTTCTTCTCTCACAATT